ACACTTAATACATCCAAAGATGCCCATGCATCCATGTGGATGCCATCCACATCCATGCACTTCTTATGCTCCTCAATCAGAGGCAGGGCCTGTGTTTCCTCCACTTAAACCCAGGAGGACTTATGACTATGGTAGGAGCAGTACGGAACCTCTCAGCTGAAGCCACGAAAGGTAATACAGATTCCTCCAGCTCTCTTTTATGATACACATACCTTGGGAGCCCTGAGCCAACATGTAAGATACTGGCTAGTCTTAAACCAGCACACTAGAGAGGTCATATAGAGACAGAACTGAAAGTGAGTGAGAGGGAGGGGGAAGGGGAAACAGAGGGGGAGAGGGAGGGGGAGGGAGAAAGAGAGAGAGGGAGAGGGAGAGAGACAGAATGAGCATGCTGAAGAATCTTTCTAGCCCAAGTGTTAGACTTATCAGTGAGCCTTCAGATTTGTGAGATCCAGTACAGCAACCACCAGTCACATGTAGCTACTTAAATATAAATTAAGTAAAATGAAACAAAATTTAGAAATCTATTCTTCAATCACACGAGTTATATTTCAAGTGCTCAGTAGCCACACATAGCTGCTAGCTTCTACTTCACTGGACAGGGCAGGTTTAGACTGTTTCTATCTTGTAGAACGTTTTAGAGAACAGTGTTGCTTCAGATAACTCCCTTCCCCAGTCTTCAGTCTGCCATAGTGCTGTGTGGTGCACAGATGAGCTATCCCATCAAGCCCTACAGAATGCAAATTCATGGCCAAAATCAATGTTGTTTTCAGCCACTGATTTTTGGGGTGGTTTGTTACAGAGCCATAATAAAAGAAATACAAGGAAAGTAAAGCTCAGAATGTGAATAATCTGTTGGAGTTTTGGAGTCCACAAAATCAGTCAAATATTGGGAATAACCACATTTTACTTCAAAGTCCAATAAGTGCTTATGAATAAATGAAAAAGAAAATGCCCGATTCTTGAGCCCACAATGTTTTTGTTTTACCTTATTAAAAACTGTTTATTTATTTATATTTGAGAGAGAGAAAGTGAGTATGCACATCAGGGGCAGTGAGAGGGGGAGATAGAGAATCCCAACCAGGCTTTCCATGCTGAGCCTGATGCAGTGTGCAAAGTCACAAACTATGAGATCATGACCTGAGCTGAAATCAAGAGTTGGACACTTAACCAACTGAACCACCCTGGTGCCCCACGCCCACAATATTTTTAATTTCAAATACTTGCCACTGTGCACCAGAAGCGTTGTCTCTGCTACTCTAGCAAAAGGTTTGATGATTCCTGGCTCTGAAGGAATAAGATCCTGAGAAATGTTAGCATCGTGAAATCAATGGCTCTGAAGGAATAAGATCCTGAGAAATGTTAGCATCGTGAAATCAATGGTAAAGCAAACAAGTCCTAGCTTCTTTCTGGTGAATTTACTAGAGTCACCATTTAACAGGTGAAGCTCATTTGATTTTCCAGTTTTATACTCACACAGTACCCTTTACTTTTTTAAGTATTTTATGTCACATATTTTAAAAATTTTTTAAATGTTTATTTTTGAGAGAGACAGAGAGAGACAGAGCATGAGTGGGGAGAGGGGGCAGAAAGAAAGCGGGAGACACAGAACTGAAGCAGGTTCCAGGCTCTGAGCTGTCAGCACAGATCCTGACGTGAGGCTCAACCCCACAAACCGTGAGATCATGACCTCAGCTGAAGTCAGATGCTCAACCAACTGAGCCACCCAGGTGCCCCTATATTACATATTTTTAAACCTAAAAGCAAAAGAAACAAACCAAAAACCTTTGATGGCGTTTCTCAATATCAACCAAAAGCTATCTTTTGATTGATTGATTGATTGAGACGGTATAAGTGAGCCAGAGACAGAGAGAGAAAGAGACCACAAGGAGCAAAGAGAGAAAATCTCACAAGGGGCAAACAGAGAGAGAGAGAGAGAGAGAGAGAGAGAGAGAGAGAGAGAGGTGGGGCTCACTCAGGGCTTGTATTTTACCTGAAGCGGGGCTTGGACTCACCCACTGTGGCACTCAAACTCATAAACTATGAGATCATGACCTGAGCCAAAGGTAGATACTTAACAACTGAGCCACCCAGGCACCCAAAAGTATCTTTTAAAAATACTATTTTACCAAGCAATTCATTTTAATTAAAAACCAATTTTAAATTATTTGAACTGGGGCACCTGGGTGGCTCAGTCGGTTAAGCGTCTGACTTTGGCTCAGGTCATGAGCTCACGGTTTATGAACTAGAGCACTGCATCAGGCTGTGCTGACAGCTCAGAGCCTGGAGCCTGTTTTGGATTCTGTGTCTCCCTCTCTCCCTGCCCATTCCCTGCTCATACTATGTCTCTGACTCTCAAAAATAAAGAAATGTTAAAAATGTTTTTAAAATAAATCACTTGAACTAATGGAAATTATAGATTTGGCGAGTCAAAAATAACTTGGGATTTAAGTGAATTTCCACCTAAACATGATTATAACAATCACTGTGAGACTTTATTTCCTTTTTTTTTTTTTAGTTTATTTATTTTGAAAGAGAGAGAGAGAGGAGCACAGATAGAGGGAGAGAGAGAATCCCAAGCAGTCTCTGCACTGTCAGCACGGAGTCCAATGTGGGGCTCGATCCCATGATCTGTGAGATCATGACCTGAGCTGAAACCAAGGGTTGGATGCTTAAAGGAGTGAGCCACCCAGATGCCCCATGAGACTCTATTTCTAATGATCAATTATGAAGCTACATTGAAACAACCTGTGAAGTAGCAGCACAGCTTCCCCATCAGACCAGAGCACAAAGCTGGACTTCATGTACAGGCTACAAAATGTTCTGCTAGCATGAGCCTAAGCAGACATACAGTATCAAAACTTGCATGTATAAAAATTAGATGATATTTAAAATTACTGTTAATTTTTAACTTTTTTTTAAGTAATCTCTATACCCAACATGGGGTTCAAATTCACAACCCTGAGATCAAGTCACATGCTCTTCCAGGCCACCTGAGTGGCTCAGTCAATTGAGTGTCTGACTCTTAATTTTGGCTCAGGTCATGATGCCAGAATCATGAGATTGAGCCCTGCATCAGGCTCTGTGCTGAGTGTGGAGTCTGCTTTAAGGTCGGGTGGGAAGGAAAGGGAAGGAAGAGAGAAGAGAAGAGGGAAGGGAAGGGAAAGGAAGGGAGAAGAGGGGAAGGGAGGGGAGGGGAGGGAAGGGAAAGGGAAGAGAAGGGAAAGAAAAGAAAAGAAAAGAAAAGAAAAGAAAAGAAAAGAAAAGAAAAGAAAAGAAAAGAAAAGAAAAGAAAAGAAAAAGAAAAGAAAAAGAAAAGGAAAAGAAAAAAAAGAAAAGAAAAGAAAAGAAGTCACATACTCTTCCAACTGAGCCAGCCAGGCATCCCTTAAAACAGCTACATGTTTTAAAGAGTTCTTAGCTCTAAAATGTAGAGATTAGAATTGTGATAAAATAGTACCAGGAATTTGCCTAAAGTTAAGATGTAGCTGGGGTGGGCAGTATAGGGGAATGCAGATGAAACAAGGGCAGCCCTGAGTTAATGACTGCTGTCACTACTGTGCATTATACTCCTCTCTTCTACTTATGCTTGAAAATGTCCACAGTCAAAAAATTGAAAAAAAAAAAACCCAACAACTTCTATATTTACATGTTTTGGTTTGAAATGCAACGCAGAGAGTGTGAGACAATGGCAAACTACACCCAGATAAAGGCCAGGCTTCCTAGACTTTCAACTATTAATGAGAAGGACCAAAATATCCAAAATAAATACAAAATGCCTCAAATCTATAAAAACCCTATCTCTTTGAGTACATACACCCAACTGCTCCATGTTGGGATCATAGCCAAGACATAGCTGACTCATACATTACACAGAATTCTAATATGTGTGGTTACTGGATTTCTTAGCCAACAGCCAATAACTGAATAGGAGGCTAATAAACACAGACACACAAAAGGCACAAGACCGCTGACGGCCTAATAAGATGGGGGTAAAAAGAGAACAGCTATATAAGACGTGAAGTTCACCACTAATTAACACAACTTTATGGAGTAATAACCAGTATGTTTAGTGGGAAGGCCACGGGCTTTGGAGTCAAAGACTTGGTTCTACAGCCACTTGCTAGCTATACGAACCGAACCAAATTACTTAACCTCATTTTTTTTCTTCAGAAAAATTAAAGTAGTAGCTACACCACTAGGCTTATCCTGATGACTGAAAGAGAGGTAACTGCTGAGTACCTTCGAAGCAGATTCTCCAGTCTCAGCTGACAATCTGCCTACAACCTTGTGAGAAACCCTGAGCCAGAACTACCCACCTACTTGCTCCTAGACTCCAAAGCCTCAGACACTGCTGGAAATAATAAATGTTTGCTGCATTAAGTTGCTACATTTGGGTAACTTGTTGCACAGAATAGACAACTATTATATAAAGGAAAAATGTGTCTATTATTTGACTAGCTATTTTTTTTTCTAAATATAGCAATTGAACTTCTTTGGTATATAAATTAGATAATACAAGGGAACCCTTTTCTTTATCTGAACGGTCTGCTCATCACTTTGTAATGGCATATTATGAAGCTGGATATTATTTTCAAAACCAAACTTCTTGAATCTGACATTGCTCATATGCAAGAAAACTATGGGGCTAAAAACCCAGACTCTGTGACATGGTTCAATACCTCAGACCCAATACTCAGGCCTTACTCTGTAATATACATATGCTCTATACTTGTATAGATGCATTCTGTATCTACTCTACATTTTTTTAAATGTTTATTATTTACTTTGAGGAAGCACAAGCAGGGGAGGGTTAGAAGAAGAGGGAAAGAAAGAATCCCAGGCAGGTTCAACACTTAGGACTGAGCCTGATTCGGGGCTCAATCACACAACTGTGAGACCCTGACCTGAGCCAAAATCAAGACTCAGATGTTCAACCCCACTGGGCTACCCAGGTGCCCCCACATTCTAATATTAATAAAAAGTACGCTTAATCCTACCTGAATGAGGCATTTGCTCACATCACTAGCACAGAGTGCTTTGTTACAGCTCAGTGACTCAGGGATCCAAGTCAGGAACACCAGAATGGCTAGAGAAAGCATAACAACGGAGTGGGACTTCATGATTCTTCAAAGGCAATCAACTCCCAGGAAGCTAAACCAACGAACAAAAAGAAAAACAAAACAAAACAAAACTTTAATTCAAAGGCGAGGGCTAGGCTAAGAACAAATACAGAAATAAAAAGCAAAACAAATAAACCAAGACTCATTATTTGTATTAAATGACTTTTGAGTGATCATTTAAAGGACATTTTCAATGAATGGTTAAACAGTAAAAACAAAGTACAATTTTTATATAGTAATGTCTTGTCAGCAAACTGTAAATACGCGCGCGCACACACACACACACACACACACACACATACTTAAACCATCAGGTTACTGAAGCAAATAACTAGCTTTAGTACTGCACCGCTACTATTCAACTTTAGTTTTAGGCCCATTATTCAACTTTAAACCCATATAAACCCTATTAATATAGTATAATATACAACACTTAACAAATTTAAAAAAATTTTTCTAATGATTATTTATGACTATCTCGTTTTATGTTTTCACATATTTGTCCAGAAGCTATGGGCTGAAGCAACTCAGAGAAAGAAGTAGAGTTGCCAGTCATTTCTTAAATAACTTAGCAAATAACACAGGGGGTAGTAAATTACCAACTGCATTAAGAACTCTGAGTAATTTATTAAAATGTGAAGATATTCTTTTAATTCTATACCATAGGTACCACAGATTCTACAATGTTATTAAGAAGAGGGTACATTTTAAAAAGGAAAAGGAAAACAAGACCAGCACAAATCCTGATAGTGGTTAAACAGTGGTTAAGCGAACATGGTTAGTAAGCTTTTTGAAAAGATGTAACTTCCTACAGTTAAAACACCCCCCCCATAGAATCAGTTAAAATAAATGATTACTGATGTAAGGTAGATAAAAGGTGAGTTTATGGTGCCTTTATGATTACTGTAAACTTTTACTCCAAGTATTACAAAATACAATAAGGCAAAAGCAATAAGAATGTGACAAGAATAAAGAGCATTGCACCCGGTATGACTCAATTTTGAAAGAGAAAGCCCTGGCGATGGTTACTGAGGCCCACAAAGTGTTCCTAAAGACCGTTAATAACCCAATTTTCTCATTTATTTAACAGCACATACCAAGTCGGATGATTTCTGGTGCCGCCAGTACATATTCGTAGAGGCCAAAGAAGGTATTTTGAAACGTGATTTTTTTTTTCCAGAACTAGTTTTCATCCTACACTCACTAAAAATGGGATTTTTCCCCCCATCTCTTATGGTTGTCTTCATCCTACTCCCCAAACCTTACTGGCAAAAGTATTCAAGTAAATGCACGTACAAAGCAGGTAACAATTGTTTAAAGGGCTTCTCCTTTTTCCCTAAGGAGTCAGGAACGATGCCGCATCGAAACTGTTTTCCTGCGTCGGGACCAGTTTCTCAGGCTCTTGGCGACCTGTGTGTGGTCCCCAAGGGGGACGGCACTGACAGCAGCCTTTGTGCCGCGGGACGGAGCCCCTGCTGCCGGTTGAGGAGGCAGAGGCCACCGTGGCTCTTGAACCCTCGCTCACCCACGCGCCGCTGACCCGCGAGGCAGGGGAGGGGGCCGCAGGGGGGCCGCCAGCCTGCGCGCCCGCGCCCAGCACCCACCGGGCGGCGCCCCCACTTTGTCCAGCGCGTAGGCAGGCCGCGCGGGAGCTGCTCCGCTCCTCCGGGCCCCGAGAGCCCGCCGCGGCCTCGGCCTCCAGAGGCCGGAGCTCGGAGCCCGGACCCTCCCTGGCCGCAGACGCTGCCCCGCCTGCTCCCGCTCACCGTGCGCCGCGGCGCCGTCAGGCCGCCTGGCCCTCGCTTCCCCGCAGGTCACCCGAAACCTGGGCGCGCCGCCGGGCTGTGCGGGAGAGGCAGGCCGCGCCTCCGCGCCTCCCTCAGCGCTGCGCCCGCGAGCCTCGGGCACCTTAAAGAGACAGGCCCGTCACTGCCCTCCCCCCAGCCTCCCCGGTCCCTCCGCCCGCCCTCGGCTCCCAGCCGCCGCCAGCTCCCGACAGGAGGCGTCTCTCACTCCCGGGGCGCTCCTGTCAGCTCACGCCCCGGCCCCGCCCCCGCCGGGCCCACCGCCCAGTCGCCAGTCCGGCCCCCGCCCCGGCCCCGGCCCCGGCCCGGCCCCCGCGAAGGCCCCTCCCCCCCAGGCCCCGCCTCCGCCAGGCCCACCGGCCCCGCCCCAGCGAAGGCCGGGTCCCAGGCTGTGGCCCCACCCCCAGCGGGGCCCCGCCCCGCCCACGCACGAAGGCCCCGTCCCGCCCTCCGGTCACGCCCAACAGCGGCCACACTCCCCCCCCCACCCCCGCCCGCCCGGGGACACACACCCCGGCCCGCCCACGCGCGCTTTCCCTCCGCCCTCTTCCCCGCCCCCATCTCAGGCTTCTTTGTCCGCCCACCTGGCCCCTCTGTGAGGCCCAGTCTCCGGGCTTAGCAAGTGCACGTCGCGCAGCCGAGAATTTGACGTACAAGAGCTCAGAGACTGCACAGCAACCGCAGGAGGCAGCTGTGATTGTCCCGCTCTGGGGATGCAGGACAGAGGCACCTAGTGGTCGAGTAGCCCAGCCCGCTGTTGCAGAGCTGACACTCGAACTCTTGTCTCACGTCGGAGGCCGGACTTATTAAGAAGGCAGGTTTCTGGGCTCAGTCTCAGACCTGCTGAATAAGGATCTGCTAGGGCAGGACCTTCGTTCAGCAGTTCGCTGAATTTTGCTGCGTCCTTGGCGAGTGCCTGGCACTGTGCTTAGCACTGGAAATAGAAGAGAGGAGGCAAGGCGGGTGCTGGCCGGGAAGGAGGCCACTGGGCTTGGGAGAGGATGGACAGACAGCTAGACAAATGGTTACAGCGAACCACCCCAAGTAGGAGAGGGCTCCCTGAGCATGGATGACGCAGCACGCATTTCAGCCTGTACTTTAGAAAAGGAATTCCTTCCATCAACAGCATGTACAGCAAGGCATTTGGGAATTGCGCTCAGATTTTTCCAACAACCCTAGGAATTTGCTTTTTAAAAAGATTCCAGTGATTAAGTTGGAGCCCATTGGGCTAGATCATCCGCAAGGCACTTTCCCTTTGGAAATGGTGACATAGTAGTGATAAGAGTTTTAAGCTAGTAGGAGGCTTAAATGCCTTATATTCCCCTTTGTTGCTTGGAAGAAAACGGAAATAACGGATGGAAAGACTTGATTGGCCAAGGGCGTGGATTACATTAATGATGTTAGTCCATTTTTGTATAGTAAGTAAATAAATATGCATTTTATTTTATTTTTTTAAGTTTTCTTAAGGTTTTATTTCTGAGAGAGAGAGAGAGACCCAGAATCAGAAACAGGCTCTAGGCTCTGAGCTGGTTGTCAACACAGAGCCCGACGCGGGGCTCGAACCCACGAACTGTAAGATCATGACCTGAGCCGAAGTCAGACGCTTAACTGACCGAGCCACCCAGGCGCCCCTAAATATGCATTTAAAAAATCACCCCTGAAATTTGTCTTTTCAAAATGTTCTTATTCAGTTTTGAGAGGGAGGGCATGAGTGGGAGAGGGGCAGAGAGAGCGGGACAGGTGATCTGAAGCAGGCTCTGTGCTGACAAAAGCAAGCCTGATGCGGGGCTCGAACTTAATTTACAAGCTGCGAGATCATGACCTGAGCTGAAGTTGGATGCTCAACTGACTGAGCCATCCAGGCGCCCCATCCCTGAAAATTATCTTAAAGAAATAATTGAGAATATATACAAATTTAACTTTAAGGTCTTATCCTTTGGCATTAGTTATTGGTTAAATGAGTTATGACACTCCAGTGCAATGGACTAAGTCAGCTATTAAAACATAATATTGTAGGTCAGAAGTTCTACACTTACTGGTCTCAGGACCCCTCTACACTCTTGAAAGGTACTGAGGGCTCCAAGGAGGTTTTATATGTGCTACATCTGTCAAAACTTTTGAAATTAAAACTGAGAAATTTAAGAACTATTTATTCATTTATTTCACTTAAAAATAATAGACTCTATTGTAAAGTAACATGAAAGACATATTTTATGAAAAATAAGTATGTATTCCAAAACAAAGAAATAGAAAAATGGCATTATTTTACATTTGTGCTATTCTCTTTAATGTCAAAGTTAATAGAAGGCAGCTGGATTTTCATATCTGCTTCTGCATTCAAACTGCTGCAATATCATGTATTATGTAGCCTCTAGGGGACTACTCTAAACTTAGGAGAATGAAAAAGGTAAATAATGTATTAGAATTAAAATAAAAATTTGAGCTCATGAACCCCCTGAAAGGGTCTTGGGGCTCCTAGGGTCCCTAGATTACACTTCGAGTACTACTATTGCAGATGAATATTGTTGGCATGGAAAGATATTCGTTATATGTCAACATTTTAAAGTGGTATACATATTTTTAGAACGATTAATATTAAAAATTGTGTATACAGGGGTACCTGGGTGGTTCAGTCAGTTAAGGGACCGGCTCTTGGTTTCTGCTCAGGTCATGATCTCATGATTCATGAGTTCAAGCCCTAATGAGTAAGGCTCAGAGCTGACAATGCAGAGTGGGCTTGGGATTCTCTCTTTCTCCCTCTTTCTCTGCCCCTCACCTGCTCGCTCTCTCTCTTTCAACATGAATAAATAAACTTTAAAAAATGTTAGACAGCTATTAAAAAAGGTCTGGAAAAAGAACCATGGTGTTAGCATTGGTTATTTCTTGGTGAGATTACAAATGATTTTTGTTGATGTGTTTTTTTGTTGTTGTCGTTCATCTGCATTTTCTGATGTCTTTGCTTCTGTTACTTTGGTCATAATCTTTAAAAATACAGGTTTTTAAACATTTTAAATTTATTTTTGAGAAAGAGAGTGTGCAAGCAGGGGAGGTGCAGAAATAGAGGGGGATAGAGGATCCAAACGGGGCTCTGCACTGACAGCAGAAAGCTGGATGTTGGGCTCGAACTCACGAACCATGAGATCATGACCTGAGTCAAAGTCAGATACTCAACCAGTTGAGCCACCCAGGAGCCCCCAAAATTTAGTTATTTTTAATTTAAGTTTAAGATCCTCTTTGTTACATCCTAAAAGGTCAAATGGTGACTGAGCCCCCAGGTGAACATCAAGTGGTTCTGGCTCTGTGGTTAGCAGTTTGGGAATCTGAGACCTATACTGCAGTGGCTATTTTATTTTATCAGAAGCCTTTATAATCAGTGCAGTAAAAGCTCTTAGTTGGGTTATTGGGCACCTGGGTGGCTCAGTCGGTGAAGCATCCAACTTCCTTCAGCTCAGGTCATGATTTCACCACAGCTCATAAGTTCGAGCCTGGTGTTGGGCTCTGTGAGCCTGCTTCAGATTCTGTCTCCATCGCTCTCTGCCGCTCTCCAACTTGCACTCTGTTTCTCAAATATAAATAAACATTTTTAAAAAACCCATAATTGGGCTTGATTAAAGGGTCAAATATCACTGAATCACCTAACCTTCACTCAGATATGACTCTCAGCCAACTGCAGTAAAGGGATGTATTAGTGTCCTATTGCTGCCTTAACAAATTACGATAAATGTACTGCTGTAAAACAATACAAATTTGTTACCTTACAGTTCTTGAAGACAGAAGTCCTAAAATCAGGGAATCAGAAGAGCTGTGTTCCTTCTGGAGGCTCTAGGAGAGAATCCATTCCTTGCCTTTCTAGCTTCCAGAAGTCACCTGATTCCTTGTTTTGTGCCCAGCAGCATGGCATCTTCGAGTCAACAGCCCTCCCTTCTCTCTCTGTCTCTCTCTCTCTCTTTTCCTCTCTCTGTGTCTCACTCAACTCTTCTACCATAGTCTCATCTCCCTCTCTAACTCTGACCCTCCTGAATCCCTCATGTAAGGCCCCCTCTGGTTACACTGGGGCCACCCGGATAACCCAGGATAATTTCCCATCTCAAGATCCTTAATTTAATCACATTTGCAAAAAGTTCCTTTGTCCATGGAAGGTAATTAACATCCACAGAGTTTAGGGACTGGGATGTGGACATCTTTGAGGACTGGACTGGGGAGGTGTAGTGTGCAGGGGTGCGTGGGTGGGGGTAAGGGTGGGGGCATTATTCTGTCCAACACAGAGGTATAACCAGGAAAATTATAATTTGTAAACTTCTGGTCCAGAACTCATCCTTTATGTAGTGGGTTATATACTCTCACCTGTGGGCATCGCCTCACCCTGCCCGTCTTCCCTAGAAGAAAGGAGCAAAGAGACAGCCTGACGCACAGGTTTTCGGTACCCCTCCCAGTTTGATTTGGATTCTCCACTTCTGAGTTTCACGTTGCTGATTCCCTAAAGGAGAGTGGGTGGGGCCCCTGTCCTCACGGGCGGGAGGCCGGGCAAGGGCCCAGGAAGGGAAGCTCGGGCATGGCGGGAGGAGGCTCCCATCTTGTGCACCTTCCAGCCCAGTGGGCACGGGAAAAGCAGGCTGTCTGCCAAAGGGCCAGCACTTCGGGGTCTGAAGATTCTGATTTGGAGCCCACTATCCCATTCTTAATGTCTCTCAACTTGGGTAACTCAACTCAATAAGCTGATCTGGTTTTACAGATTTGAATTTAAGTGAGCCGCAATTCATCCGTCTGCCAGCTTGCTCTTGGGAGGGAAGGTCTTCTGAGGATGGAAGGCCCATTTGAGGAGATTCCTCCTTTGTCCATCACTCTCTCCCCCTTCCATCCTTCCTCCCTGGTCTGTTATGGTCTACTGCAAAACTATCTAAAGAACGAAGAAACGAAATGGATTTCTTGTAAAGGC